GGGCGGGGGAGGACGCAGGTCCCCCCCCCCCCAGCCACATCAGGGTGACAGGAGGGGAGCCAAGACAGGGTCTTCCAGGACCCCCGGCCCTTGAGGTTGTGAGGGAGTCACCCATGACACCTCCACAGGGGTCACTGAGGGCCCTCTTTTGGGGAGCTCCTGGAGGGCTGTGGTGTCACCCAACAACACTAGGCTTCACCCTGTCGGCCTTCTGCGAGACAGGTGGGACAGGGCAGGGTGTCTCGTCCTGCTGCCAGGGGACAGTGAGGGTGTGGCTGTCCGGGCAGAGATGAGTCATCCTCCCCCGTGTCTTGCCACTCGCCCCCCCACACCCACTTTTAGCTCAAGTGTGGCCAAGGAGGGGCGATTCCTTACCTAGAACACACGGGCCACAACAACTACCTCTGCAAATGGAAACAAAAACAGTCCTAGAGACAGCTTGTCCGCTCCTTAGACCGTGGCTGCCAGTGCGTCAGGAAGGCATTGGCTGCTCGATGGGGGTCGCTCCAGGCTGGCAGCTTTAAACCCGGGACCCTTTCCGTCTCCCTGGACAGGGACGGTGCCACAGGGACCAACGGGTGCCCCCAGCTCCCTGTGCTGTGCAACACTGAGCACCAACTCCAACCCTGGCACCAGGGAGGAGTACGGCACAGGTCCCCAAGTCCCTGTCGTTGGCTCGGGAATGACAGCAGCCCTCTGACCCCGACTTCTTACCCACAGTGGGCTTCGACTGCATCGCCGAGTGGCTTTGCAACCCTAACCCACGACGTTCCGGAAGCAGACAACACGGCCCAGGCCACAGTCACACTTTCCGTACCGGAAGTGGAAAAGCCATGTCGGACCTGGGGGAAGCCGTGATGGAAATGTGGGACAGAAGGTTCCTTGCTGAAACCACTAACAACTTACTAAAATCAAAAAGCAAGACCAGCAAGCCCAGTGGGCGCACTCGCTGGCACCCATCGGCACCAATGTGGTAGGTGCGCGAGCTTCGTGTGCTCCGGGGGGCCTGGCGCGGGGCTGCAGGGACGCCCTCAGCACGCCCCCTTACTGCCTGACTCCCCCTCCAAGCTGGTGCTGGGGTGCGGGTCTCCTGCTTGTCGCCAGTGACTGGAGCTCAGTGTCTGTCACTTGTCAATGACGAACATTACAAAGGCAAGCCATCCTTTCCCGGGAAGAGGCGGAAACAAGAACCCAGCTGCGGTGTTCACAACCGCCAAAGCCTTCTCTTTTCAAATCAGTGCCGGAACCTGGGATTAATTCCCAAAAGCATTTTTGATACCTGACCTTCTGAGGTCAATGCACTAAGGATTTTGGTCTCTTTGGAAACAAGCACAACACAGAAGCAGCTATGGCCCTGGAGAAAAGGCTGACAGAGTCACGGGACCGAGTGCCCTGCGGTGGGGATCAGCAGGTGACCTCTCCCCCCACACGGGAGAAGGCGGCAAGAGCTTTCAGGAGACAAGTTTCAGCCTTCTCACAGTTAACACGGGACCAAGCACGACAGTCCCCATCACTGTATGTCCATGATAAAGGTGGGGACAAGCCCAGGGAGCAGGCAGGTCGCTGAGAGGGTTGGGGTACAGGAGAGCGAAGTGGCACGCAGGTGGAAGACAGTGGGCAGCAAATACCTGGGTCTCGGATGTGGGTGGTGTCTCCCACAGTGAACAGAGATGTTCACTGCATCGTCTGCAAAATACAGACGCGCTAACAAGGCCGTTCCCGGCTAGTGATGCGACATGTCCTGACGGACAATGCTGGCCCCTGTCAGGCGCTGAGGAACGTGGGCGGGGGGAGGGAAGCAGGCGGGAGGCCCAGGCCGAATCCAGCCTATGCTGCCTTGGCCGAGGCTACTGGGAACCC